CCTCCAAAATAATTTCAATGTTGGCTTTCATAACAAGCAATTAAGAATGTATTCGATATTGTTTGGCTTGCGAGCTCGCCTTGAGACTATAAAAACTTTGTTTTGGGAGTCTGATCCTTCTTGGTCGCGGCTTTAATTCCCTTTATTTGAATTCAATTTCCTTCATCTTTGTATTAATTATGAACGCAAGTCTTGTAGTAAACAATTTTTTAATTCTTTGGTCCATGCAAAGTCTAAAATTATTCACATCGACAGATACCTACCTGCGGTTGAAACTCACTAGTCACGTGACTTTCCTCCTGACTTTCATTTTACTAGCATCATTCTCTTTGATTTAATTTTGGCTACAGGATACAAGTTCTCCTGATATTTTTAACTCTACTTCTATGAGGTATAATCTGTTAGTTTCATCAACCTTCTTTATAACAGCGATTTTTGTGACCCCGATAATAGTGTTTATACCTAATGGCCTCCTTCTGATTATCACAATCACACCAATTCGTTTACTAGTTTAAGCTTATTCATTTATACTGTCATCTAACTATCAATTTAATTTCCTCCTGTTATCATCTTCGACATTTTTAACTACCTAGGTAGTGTGATATCCGCAAAAGATAGTAGAAAAAAAGATATCCTGACCAGAATTAACAAGGCAACGAGCGCATACTCACAGTTACGTCAAATATGGAACTCAGCGAAAATATTCTTCTCCTCAAAAATGAGAAGAACATGAGTCAAACGTGATCTCAGCATTGCTCTATGGATGTGAGACCTGGCTTGTAACCGACTTTCTTACTGAAAAAATTTAAAATTTTGTCAACAGATCTCTTCGACAAAATTCGGTGTGGTGGCCAAATGTCATCAGTAACTTCGAACTTATATGTTCGAATTATATGTTTGAATTGGAACCAATGATTGATTACATAAAACTACGAAAATGGCGGTGGCTAGGTCACACATTGCGAAAGGATGCTACAGAAATTTGTCGACAAGTTCTTGTTAGGAACCAGATACTTGAATAAAGTTTTCAGTACTCTAATTTTCACAATCCAACGGAACAATATTCATTACGCATTCTTAAGACGTGGGTTTAAGTGGTTCAAGTCTCATACGGTGTCTTTGATGCTTTTAACCTACTGGAAAAAATCCGCTTACGAGAACTTTTTGAGCAAGGGAATACTTTCTAAATTTTAATGTAAAAATAATATTTTTTTTATTGCTTACAAAATTACAATGAAATAAGTAAATACGAATAAATTAAATATCTTAAGTGCACATCGTTTAAAACACAAATGCCTGATGTTTTTTTTTGGTTAGAAGATACATCGTCATACAAGCCTCCTACTAATGCACTTAATGTTTTTCCATGGGGTTTACATTTACATCACAAAACATAATAAAATAAAAATATATGGGGAAAATAATATACGAGTATATTTACAACGTTTTGAATAGGCTTCGTAAATAATTGCATTGCAAAAAAAGCAATTGAAATTTTTCGCTGTGGATTATTTGCTTTTCGAGAGCAATTAATATTCAGAGAAGCAAAATAAATATGTACGGGTTCGTCTATTTGCTGTCAATAGAGATACATTTCATCAAAATTAAATTTCTATTTAATCTGTCTTGTAAATTGTTAAACGTAAATTGGGCTCAATAGTTTATTGCGATAAATTGGCAGCATCCGCAGCATGGAAGCTTGAATGATGCCAGCGCTGGACTAGCACAATTGAAAATTGGAAATTGATTTGAATTTTATGGTCGTTATGCGCTGCTCTATGGATTCTATTGGCTCTATGGGCGCACAGGGAAGGGCGCAATTTTTTCGTATTGAAAATAATTTTAATGGAATTAAGTTGTTTATTGAAAATTGCTGCTATTTTAAAAGGCACACAATGAGAAGTTATGGAAAATTAAATATTGTTTTTATTATTCGAACAAGTCAACACGCACAATCGATGCGTTACTCGAGCTCCAATTTCGTTTATGGACTTTAAAGTCATTTGCAAAAATTTATAATAAAAGTTTTTCAATTGACTTTTACGACTTAATAAATTTAAATGCATTTCAACATTTTAAATGCTGTTTCACTTTAACAGATAATTTAATCAATGTGAAAACTGGGAATCAGAATCAATTTTAAGTGCACATCCAATAGGGCAAACCATTCAGTCGTTACGTATGTAACCATATATTCATCTTCAACGGTCTTTCGCAATATTGGTTGTTGGTTTTAATAGTATCAAAGACCACTGAAATGGAATATAGAATAGTTAATGTTGAATTTCAATCAATTAAAAATTAAATTTTTATTGTTCAATATGCACTCCTTTTTATTTAAAAAGAGTTTCTTTGGGTATTTGACATAACATAAATATTTTAGAAAAAAAAAATCGTATAAATTTAGGAATGTTCTTAAAATAAATCAAATAAACGAAATAACGGTATTTAAAATAATAAAAATAAAATCTTAAATTTTACAAAATGTTGAGAATAACTGCAGCTAACTAAATTGTATCCCCCGTATTGCAATTATTGAAATAATATTATTTAAAATAATAAAAATAAAATCTTAAATTTTACAAAATGCTGAAAATAACTGCAGCTAACTAAAATGTATCCCCCGTATTGCAACGTCAACTGTTGACATCAGGTTCAACGGCCCCCGAAGAAAATATACAAAAATACTAGAACACCCATGATACCACTATGTAGATTTATCCTTTAAGTTAGTCTTCAATATCGTCAACAATAAAATAAGTCAAATTTTCTGGTTTATTTTAAAATACCGGATCTCATTTGCAATATTGTGTGGAATATAGAATCAAAAAGTCTTTTTAGTTAATTGAAAAGGTTTGAGTATATTCTAAAAATCAATTAAATCAACTAATAACAACTTAAATTTGAATTTATTATATATAGATGTAATGTTGCATTTTTTATATCATTAACTTAGTTGTGAGTAAATAACGTAATAATGTTCAAATTTAAAACAATAGTATCCCGGTAAAACAGACAGCGCAACCAGTCCAGAGAACACTAGTCACAATACTATAGGTTATATACATACTATATATGCTCACTAAACACATATTACATGTTAATTATGAACTCATCAATGTTCATCAACTAATATTGATTAAATTACAATCACTCGCTACTGTAGTCGAATACTTTCACTATTCGCTAGTGAGTCCCAACCGATCTTGGTCCGCAAGATGGTTAAAAAATGGTCCGTTAATCTTATTTAATAGGTATGGATCGATATCTGATTGTTTATCCACTGAGACCTCACTTATTAGAAAATAAGCACAAAATTTTTTCAAAGAATAATATACCTATTCTATAGCGTATATAATGTATTAATGCATTTATATAATTTATTATATATTATACCAGAGATGCATAAAGCATATTAAAATAATCATAGTTTATTATACTTAAACTTGGAGGTCCCTATTAAAAAAAAAAATGTCTTGGTAAAAAAAGAGGCGTGAAGTCATTGCTGTAGTCCAATTATATGGATTACGGTAACCAGCAACAGTAGCTAAATCTACATCAATATTATGGAACTGCATTTGCCTAACTTCATTTTTGATTTGACCCATACAAAAAGTAAATGCAATTGAATTTACTTCTTGACTATAGGAAAATGAGTACAGTTGAGGCTAAGAAAAGAATTTACTTCTTGACTATAGGAAAATGAGTACAGTTGAGGCTAAGAAAAAAATTTACTTCTTGACTATAGGAAAATGAGTACAGTTGAGGCTAAGAAAAGATGTAATCTTATTAGCAATCGCACAAGCATTTTTAAATGAAACTCAACGCGGAACATCTCTGTAACACTAAATATTCAAAGAGCAATTATGTTTTACCTATACGAAAAGACCCAACTGAATTTGGCTATAGAAAAAGGTTATAGATGTGGCTAAGAAAAAGCTGATACCAATTGTAGTAGCACATTTGATGATGAAAACTTAACGCGGAACATCTCTGTAACACTAAATCTTCAAAGAGCAATTATGTTTGACCTATACGAAAAGATGGAACAGAATTTACTTCTTGGCTATAGAAAAAGGTTATAGATGTGACTAAGAAAAAGCTGATAGCAATCGCAGTAGCACCTTTAATGATGAAAATTCAACGCGAAACTCAATTTAATTTCGTATTTACATATATTTTGATTAATATATAATAACACCAACTTGTGGCGGATCACTGAGAGTTATATTGCGGAGAACTTAGTGCTCTAAAATAGAGACTTCTCAAAGGGTGCCGTCAACGTTTAAGGTAGTTCTTCAATTCTAGCATACGGATGGTGTCTCATTCGTAGTATCTAATGACTAATGACTGATTTAATGCAATTGCTACATAATAATACAAATTCTTATAATCACTATGGCTTGAAATATTTTATAGATCGTCTATGGATTCATTCCATTTATACATTATTTTATATTTTAATTTGTTATTTCATTTTGTTTTATATTACTCGCATTAATACATTTTTTGACAAAACTATTTCTACTATATTCGTACATAAATGTTTTTACTTACCACATTTGGGGCAATGTTTATAGGATCCATACGTATCCATGCATGTTCGAAAGAGCTGTTATATGGCGTTTGAACATAGGAAACATTACGATACTCTGCTGTGAAACTACGGACTGGATACCCACCAGCGGCGGTTTTATTGAAACGCCAAATGAGAAAACCCAAAATAGTGGATGCTTTAAAATAGAGTTGTGATACTGGACCAGGTGGTGTACGTACAGTTAGATTGACTTTAAGTATTGCTTGATATTCTTGCTCTTCTTCTTCGTTAAGCGTTGGTAAGGTGGAATTAGTTGTACTACTGCTACTGTTTGCAATAGTGTGAGGTGCCAAGGAGGAGGAGGAGGATGAGGACAATTTTGTTAGAGCTACAGTTGTAGACGTTGTAATTGGCGAGGTAGTAAAAGCAGTTGTTGCATTTGTTTTTGTTTTTCTTATTATATTTGTTGATGCTGTTGCTGTGGCTGCTGTTGTTTTTGTTGTCGTTGTTGTTGCACTTTCAGTTTGCAATAATTTAACATTTTTTGGTGTTGCTGGTATTGCTGGTATTGTTGGTGTTGTCGTTTTTAATAAGTCTACATTTGTTTCTACACTAGTATCACTATTACTAAATACGCTATTATTCGAATATAATTCTACTCTAATTGCTACATCGGTTTTTGTGCTATTAACAATTTCTAAGGCTATGTCTGTGGCATTGCGAGGAGGCACGGAAGCGAAGCATACATAGAGACCACGGTCTGCAGATGATACATTAGTAAGCACCAAATATTTTCCGGTCTGAAAATATAAATGTATATGGAATGCATTAAAATGTAATACATTTCGGTATCATTAAATTAAATCTTATTTTTCATTTTGCATTTGATAATTTCACATTTCATTATTTGCAGTTACAATGTCAGTAGAATATTGCGCTTTTCATATCTGAAAATGGAATCGATATTGTTCAGTTGGAATGCGCTCTTCCGTACTGAAATTAACTTTTACGCTCGTATATTTTGCAATTTTGTATTTATGCTGCCAAGTTGTGCATAACACATAAATTATTTTTGTATTTGTATTTAAAAATCTGAACCATACAATATTTTAGTTAAAAATTTGTATGAATTCATATTAATAAATATTTTACTATTTTACTATGTTGGATTATTGTAAAATATTCCCTTTGAAATA